ACAAAAATAAAAAAAAAAATGTTTGGAGAAAAATCAAATACACGTATTCTCTGAATACGTTTTACTAAAAAAAATTAATTAGAAAAACGTATTTCGGGAATACGTTTTTTATTATTTTTGTAAATTAAAAAAAAAAACACAAAATTCCGTTAATATTCGAATATTAAAAAAAATAATAAATATAAAACGTATTATACGAATACGTTTTTAAAAACCTGACTATTTTTAATTAAAAAAATTAATATAAAACGTATTCCGGGAATACGTTTTACAATTAAATTGTCGGTAAACGTATTCTCAGAATACGTTTTTTGAACTAAATATATAAAAAAAAATCTCTTCCTCTCCATTTTACTTACGCGAGCAGAGACCGAGAGCAGAGGGGAAAACAGAAAGAAGGGAAGGGAAACAATCGGAAAAAAAACTCGATCCAATTCTCACCCCGGCGTGAACCGACAACAACGACACGAGCCTCCTTTCCGGTTAATTCATTCGCACGAGGTATATTGGCTTATCTTAACTTTTTACAATGTTTGGAGTTGTTTGGAGATTGAGAATTGTTATAATATATTTGAATGTAGTGGTGTTTGAAGATTGTAAATTGCTAATAGATTATCGATTATGTATGTATGTTAAATTGGAGATTGAAATTTTGTGTGTAAATTATGAATTTTGTATTGTTTGGTTGTTGTTGGGGTTAGGGTTTTTGGAAATTAGGGTTAGAATTAGGGCTTTCAATTTATCCGAATTATAGACAAATTTTATGTTATTGTTCGATAAGGTTATTAGGGTTTTGGAGGATTATTTGATTGGTAATATATATATATATATATTTTTTTGGTTGGAGTAATAAAATGTGTTTTAAATTTTAGATATTATGTGTTGTTGTAATTTGTAAAATAGAATTTTTTTTGTGCAACAGGTTATAAATGGGGTCTATCGGTCCCTTCATTGTTAATGTGTACTGGAAAATTTCTCAGAGTGAGTTAGGAAAATTTTGCGAATTATTTGGCTAGTCTGGATTGTTCATTTGTTATTAATGGAACAATATCATATGAATAATTGGTAGATATGATTTACGAAAATGGTGGATTTCGTGATAGTTGGACAATTTCGAATATTACTTTGATGGTCAAACAACCGGATGGTTCGTTTATTCCCGCAAGACTGAATAATGATAATGCTCTTTCGTGGATTTACTACTATCCTCGTATGTCCTTTGTGTTTTTGTATATTGTGTTGGAAGCAAACACACATGTTACACATGTTGAGGATCCTATGCCATCATATGGTTACGGGGGAGTCTTTGGTTGTGAGGGTACGTAGAGTATGCATGCCGGTAATTTTGGTGAAGGGACGAGCAATTTCGGCGAAGGGACGAAATTTACCATGAGAGGACCAGACATTGAGGAAGAAATTGTTGGAGATTAAGATTTCAGTCCCGGTGAAGACGATTTCACTGATGAGACCTCGGAAACCGAATCGGACAGATCAATTAATAAGGAGAGCGAACAAGAATTCATTGAAGAACACCCATTTCCAAATGAAGGCCTCCACGTATATTGCGAGATGGGTGAGTGGGACTCGTCGTGTGTAGACATGGATGAGTATGCCTTGCCACTCTGGGATGGGCATGTCGAGACTATCTGTTTGGCTACAGTTTTTCGTACCAAGGAAGAAGCCGAAACAGGTGTTATGGTCTGGAATGTTGAGAATCTTAGGGCGGTCCGGACAAAAGATTCCAACAAGAAATCGTTCAAAGTTGTGTGCAGATTAGCTGAAGTTGTAACATGTATGTGGAAGGCTCGGGTGAGTCTTAACAAACGGGTGCACGACATGTGGGAGGTAACCGAATGGACCGATAGCCACACTTGCATGCAGGTGGTCGATAGAAATGACCACAAGACTGTGACCGCCACCATGATCTCAAATCTTTTGGTGGCTAAGATTCAGAAGCAGGTGACCTACAGTGTGGAAATGGTCCAGGCCGACGTAAAAAGTGCCTGGAGCGTCGACGTGAGCTACAAGAAGGCGTGGCACGGGAGAAAAAAAGTCATCGATCGTCTGTATGGCACGTGGGAATCGAACTTCGCACAACTCCCCCAGTAAGCAAAAATTAATTATAAATGTATTTACGTGTTGTTTGTAACTATATTTATTTATTTATTTATGGTTATCTTTTTATTATTTCCAGGTTTTTTGCCGCCCTTCAAAGGGCAAATCCCGTCACAGTCGTTGAGTGGGAATGGCAGGATGGGGAAATGACTCGTCATTCTCGAGACAGAGAAGTCAGATTTATCTTCTGGGCATTCGGGCCCGCCATTCGAACCTTCCATCTTTGCCCGCCGATTATTAGCATCGACGGCACGCACCTGCGAGGTTCATACAAGGGGAAGCTACTTGTTAATTGCAAATTTATTTTTTATTTTCTAACTTACAATAGTGTCTGATAAAAATAACATATGTCCAACTGAGCAGGTTCGTACAAGGGGAAGCTGCTTGTTGCCATAACACAGACCGCGAATAAGCGTCTGTTGCCAGTCGCGTATGCGATTGTGGACAAAGAAAGCACGGCTAGCTAGTCCTTTTTCCTAACACATCTGTGCAATCATGTCGTCTCCGACAGGGAGATATGTCTTCTTTCCGACAGGGACAACGACATATTGAGTGCTGTTGATTTCCTGGAGGCTTGGCACGAACCCCATGCATTTCATCGAATATGCCTTCGACACCTCCGGAGCAATGCGGTTTCAAGGTATCGGAGTAAGAAACTCCGGGTTTTGTGCTGGAGGTTGGGTTCAGTGTGTTCTCGCCGCAAATTTGATCAGAGTCAATAGCAGCTTCAGGAATGCCACCCGGAAGCATACAGTTACCTTTTCCGAATTCCTTTAGAAAAGTGGACCCTGTACAGAGATAACAAACGTCGATGGGGCACTCTGACAACCAATATATCAGAGAGTTACAAAAACGTCCTCAAAGGTGTTAGGTTCCTGCCCTGCAGAGCATTGGTACAGGCAACAATAGACAAGACTTTGGATTTGTTCGAAAAGGAACAAAAAAATTCCAGTAGCTGCAGGAGTTTCATTCCTACCGACTTCTATGCCGCCTATTTGGTGTTGGAGAGGACAGCGGCGACTCACAAGGTGCAACGTGCAAACACCGACGGATCCCAGTACAAGGTGATAACCGGTCTACGCGTCAATGGAAGAGGGCAAAACAAGTATGTAGTTTTTATTTAATTTTTTTTTTCCATTGAAATGAGTTTTTTTTTTTGTTTATTTATATATATAAATCATTGTGGAAAACAGGTTTACGGTTTATTATCAGCAGCAGCATTGTACATGTCGGAAGTGGCAAACATATCGGAAACCATGCACTCATGCACTAGCCGTGTGTCGTTACCGGGCTGATGATCTGAAGTTGTTGTATGATTCCCACTTTTGGACGGAGAACTGGGTTGCTCAATTTTCTAATTGGAATTTTGCTCCAATTGGAAATCCTGACACGTGGTCGCAGGTGGGATGGAATTTGATTCTGCATTGGCAAAGGATCATCTCGAAGCCTGGACCCGGTTGCGCCCAAACGAGACGCTTTAAAATGCAAATGGATCATCGGGCGCGCCGCAGAAGGGGACGAGATCAATGCAGTAGATATGGTGATCCTGAACATTTTGTAGACCATTGTCCGTATTCGCATCCTCCCACCGATCGAACTAGACTCCGTGATGATTGTTGAGATGGATATTTTGTGATTGGATGATTTATAATGTGTGGATTGGTTGATCAATTTTCGTGTATGTTGATTAATTAAAAATGGAATAGTTATTGTAATTTTTATTTGTTAGTGTCATTTTGATTGAGTTGGTTGTTTTGAAAATGGAATCGGGACGAATAACGGCAAAAACAGGTGCATTTGTGAAAATCACCAAGTTTATTTTTTCCCAGTTTAAAACGTATTCGTGGAATACGTTGTACATGTAATTAAATGTAAAACGTATTTTAAGAATACGTTTTACATTTATTTAATTGTAAAACGTATTTCCAGAATACGTTTTCCATTTAATTAAATTAGTACAATTGAACTCAAATTAGTACAACTGAAGTCAAATTAGTACAATTGAAGTCAAATTAGTCTAATTGAAGTCGAATTAGTACAATTGAAGTCGAATTAGTGCAACTGAAGTCATATTCGTACATTTGAACTCGAATTAGTACAATCAAAGTCAAATTAATATAATTGAAATCAACTTAGTACAATTGAAGTCAAATTAGTACAATTGAAGTCAAATTAGTACAACTGAAGTCGAATTTGTACAATTGAAGTCGAATTAGTACAATTGAAGTCAAATTAGTACAATTGAAGTCATATTCGTACAATTGAACTCGAATTAGTACAATCGAAGTCAAATTAATACAATTAAAGTCAACTTAGTACAATTGAAGTCAAATTAGTACAATTGAAGTCAAATTAGTACAATTGA